TGGGGAGAGATTAACCAAAGAATTTATATGCATATATGTATAACCCATGGACACAGACAATAGTGTGGTGAAGGCCTGGGGCAGGGAGTGGGTGGGGGTGGAAAGGGTTATGACAAAAAAAGGGGACATCTGTAATATTTTCTTTTTTCTTTTTTAAAAAATATATCTTTACTGATTTCAGAGAGAGAGAAAAAGAGATAGAAACATCAATGATGAGAGAGTCATCATTGATTGGCTGCCTCCTGCGCACCCCCAACTGGGGATCAAGCCTGCAACCTGGGCATGTGCCCTGACCGGGAATCAAACCTTGATCTCCTGGATCCTAGGTCGATGCTTAAGCGCTGAGCCATGCCCAGCCAGGCTGTAATATTTTCAACAATAAAGATGAATTTAAAAACAGTCTTTCTGTTATCAGCTTTCTGGGCCACATCTCAGTCTATCCTTAGCAATTACTATAATAAAACAAAACAAACAAACAAAATCTAATAAAGCATACCATGACCATCAGATCCTTCCATTGACTTTAATGTATTTCTTGTTTGTTCTAGTTCAGACTGTGCAGATTTTAATTGCATTTTCAGCTTATTTGTAGTAGTTTCCATTTCTTCACTTTTGTTTCGAAAATTCCTTTTTAAGACTTCGTAGTCTTCTGTACAACATGATAATCAGTAATAGTTACTTTTTTCTATCCCATTGTTATAAAATATATTTTATTTGTGATTAATGATCACAGAATTTTAGAGCTGGAAGAGACTTCATTTAGTTACACTGTCATTTGTTACAGAAATTAGATGTACGTATATACACATTTCCAGGGATCTGACTCTGGGTCCTCCTCCTCTACCCACTTACCGGGCACCGCTTTTTCCAGTCTGTGTCACTGATCACACCTATTTAATCTTAAACCTTTTTCTTGGATTATCCTGTCCACTACAATGGATTTAACCATCGTCTGTGGGAGGCAGATCTCCATCACCGGATAAGTACCCTGAGGCTATCATGTGTCTTATCTGACTTTTTATCTCCAGTAACTATCAAAATACCTGGCAAGCATTCATCATTCACGTACAAGAACACACACACTCAACTCCATTTACATTTATGTATTTATATATGATAATTCACATACACAGGGAACAGGCAGAGCCAAGGCCTCGTTGGTGAGATCTCTGTCTAACCAGGCATTTCCACACGGATGCCCTGGTGCCACCCAAACCAACTGTCTCATACTGACTGCATCTCGCCCCCCCTCCTGCCCTCAAACCTGCCCCTCCTTCCAGTTTCCCTCTCTCGGTTGTTGGTATCGTTTTTCCAATAATTCAAACTTAAAACCCGAAACCCATACCCAACCCCTCCAATCACTAAGTACTGTTGATTCAATCTCCAAAAATATTCTGAATTCTTCCTTCCCCTCTCATTCTTGCTACCACTGCCTTAGCTCAAGTTCTCATCATATTTCCCAGGGACCCTGCAAAATCCTCTTTAACTGGTTGGCCTCTGTCCTTTAAGTCCTGCCTTTCTCTATTTTATCTGTTGACACTCTTCTTCTAAAAGGGAAACTGATGACAACAATCTCTCACTTAGTGTGTTTTGCTGGCTCCACATTGTCTGGCTCTACCTATCTATTCTGCCTCACTTCTCAGCCCTCATTCCCTCACACTTTTACTCCAACAAATACATCTGAGGTCACATCATGTTACTTCATGCTTTCATGGTTTTGCCCATACTGTTCTGTCTGTACTACCCTTCCACCTCTTTTTCACCTGCCAAAGTCCTTTCCCCCCTTCAAACCTAGTACCGATGACACCTGCTGTAGGCGGCTGATTCTCTACCCTCTCCTGCATCTGCACGCAGCACACATCCACTGTGCCTCATCCACTGTACTGTAACCCACTCTGTAGAGTCTGGCTACCTGCTACCTGGGAGCCTCAATGTTGCATTTCTAGGACCTATCTCAGTATCTGGCTTAGTAAACACTCAGGAACCACTGACTGCGTGTGTGTGTGTGGTGTGTGTGAAGCAAATGATGCCTTCCCATATTCACTGTGAATAAGAAATGCTTCACTTTTAAAATTTAAGGCCTTGGATGCTTCCTTTCAAGAAATTTGCATAAGTCTGTTTACATGTTGCTTTATCATTAAACCTCAACTCCAGGTTTCCACTTCTCTCACCCTTCTCTTGGAAACTCAGTGAAGAATGTCATGGGCTCTGAGGGCTGACTAACGAGCAGTTAGTAAGTGCAAGACATGGAAGCTCTTCAAGAAGAGGTATCAGGGTTCCAGGCGATGAAATACCTCCACCGGGGCAGCACAACTTATCCATGTTTGTCATGTGGCTGAGGAACTATTCTTTTGCAATAGCGCCAGTGTCTGCATTGGACTTCACTGACAGAGCTATTTTGTTTAGCAGAATTTGAACTGAAGTGACATACCTGTGAGACTGTTTAAATCATTCCTACTAGCTTTCACCTCATTTAATAACTGATCTCTCTCCTGCTTGATGTCCTTCACTGCACGGAGCCGCTCAGAGCCGGCATTCACCAGCTTCACCTTCTCCAGCTCCAGGTCGCTCACTCTGGCCTCGAGTTCTCGGATCTTTGCATCTTTTTTATCTTTTAAAATCTAAATATAGTGATAAATACAATGGGTAGAGTAAGATATAAAAATTATTACATATATAGTTATAACATGTTTTAATATCCTTTCTATATCTATATAAATGTCTTTTCACTGTTTCCCAGGATATTAAATTTGTATTTTATTATAAAGTATCAGTAGAGTAAGTGGGAAAACGAAAGCAATATTTTACCTTTCTTTTAACTTTAGATGTCAATTCAGCATATAGTTGTGGCTACATGTGACTATCGTGTACTTGAAATGTGGCTGATTTAAGTGGAGATGTGCTATAAGTGTAAAATACACCAGATTTCAAAGGCTTTATGTTTTTAAAAATGTAAAATATCTCAATTTATTATACTAATTGCATATAAAAATATCACTGTATTTTGGGTACATTGAGTTAAGTAAAATATGTTATTAATTTTACCTGTTTCTTTTTACGTGTCTACCAGAAATTTTTAAATTATATATGTGGTTCACATTATATTTGAAGTGGACAGAGCCAGATGCTTCCAAACAAGTGCAATTTGAAAAAAAGCTTTTTTTTCCAAAAGAATTTCTACTGTTTGGTGTATAATTCTCCAAATATTGATCCAGGTATAGGTGTATTTTTTTCTGTGCTTACACTTAATTTTTTTTTAAACTTACTCTCTTGGTCATCAGATTGTCCCTTCAAATTAAGACCTGTTGGCTTAAATATAATCAGGCCTACCTCATCTTATTGCATTTTGCTTTATTGTGCTTCATAGAGGTTGTGTTTTTTACAAATTGAAGATAAGACCCTCCACCAGCAAAAAGATTACAACTTGCTTCATTGTGATACTTCACGTTGTGGTCTGGAGGTCTGTGGTCTCTGAGGTCTGTCTATAATATTCACTCATATACTACCTAGGATCAAATCCCAAGCAGTGTTGCTCACAGGCAAGATATTTAATGTCTCCATGTCTCAGTTTCCTCATTTGTAAAATGGAATAATAATGTACCCACCTCATAAGGTTTCTGTAAAGATTAAATTGACTTATCTTTTTAGAGTGTAAGACTTAATAGGATTCTTCCATTTGTTTGCACTATTAACAATACTAGAAATTCATCTCTTTTTCTTTATAAGAAGGTGGAACAATCATCTTTTTTCCTGTTCTGCAAATCTATTCTAAAATTTTCATTGTAACAGTTGGCCATTAAGATGTCTTTAAAAGTCTCTCTTATGGCACATTTGACCATTAAAAAATTCTTACAATAGCCCGGCCGGGCATGGCTCAGCGGTGGGGCAATGACCTAGGATCCAGGCGATCAGGGTTCGATTTCTGGTCAGGACACATGCCTGGGTTGTGGGCTCGATCAATGACTCTCTTATCATTGATGTTTCTATCTCTCTATCTCTCTCCTTTCCTCTCTCTGAAATCAATAAAGATATATTAAAAAAAAAAAAATTCTTACAATATAATTAAGTAAAAATTTAACACTAGAAAATTCTAGATTTTTTATGCAATGAACTTGTATATCTCCATAAGATAGTTAATAATCTATAGTTAGCCCTATTTTTAGAATGAGAAAACTCAGGCATCTATGTGAGATTTGTGGTTATCAGAGGCAGGGGATGGGGGAATTGGGTAAAGGTGGTCTAAAGGTACAAACTTCCAGTTATAGGATAAATGAGTACTAGGGCACAATATACATCATGATAACTATAGTTTACACTGCTGTATGGTGTATTTGAAAGTTGCTAAGAGAGTAGATCCTAAAAGTTCTCAGCACAAGGAGAAAAACATTATTTTCTTTCCTTGTTTTTGTATCTATGAGATGACAGATGTTATCTAAACTTATTATGGTAATCATTGCACAATAAATGTAAGTCAAGTCATTATGTTGTAGACCTTAAACTTACATAGTGCTATATGTCAATTACAACTCAGTAACACTGAAAGAAAAAATAAATTGTATGTGACTTCAGTCCTATTAGTTACCAAGGAAGAGATACAGGTAACATAAAGCATAGGAAATAAAATTTTTAAAAAATTCACTCAATAGTTTTAAATTTGGATAACTATTTACTGAGCATCTACTGGATGAAAGGAACAAAGACACGGGACAGGGATACAAAGATAAGATGCGTGCCCTGCTTGAAAAAGCCTGCAGTCTCATAGGGAAGGGAAGACACTGCTATTTAAACACACACACAGTGCAATACAGAATGGGATCCACATTATAATGGGCGCACATAAAATGAGATAAGATTTAGATGGAGAATGGAACAGGGGAAGGGAGCTAATACTTTCTCAACATCTTCTACAGGCCAGGAACTAAGCTAAGTGCTTGATATAAAATTTCTCATTTAAGCCTCAAGTAACCCAATAAGGTTGCTGGTTTTTTGTTGTTGTTTTGTTTTGGGTTTTGTTTTGTTTTACAGATACAGAAGCCAAGATTCAGTAAACAGTCCAGTGTTTGTCAGTTACTGAGTGGTGAGAGATGTGGTTAAATTTAGGTCTGAAGAGGAAGAAAATCTTTAAACTATAGGATCAGGAAAGGCTTCATGAAGAAGCTGTGGATTTTCTGATTTTTTCTCTTTTGTATGGGTAGTTCTGAACCATTGCTGGGCCACTCCTTTTGGAATCTAATCAAAGTATGGATCCTTTCTCACAAAAAACATACATATGCACAGAGACAAATACTTTCAAACAATTTCAGAGTGCCCACAGATTGTCTTTACGAAACCCCTTTTCAGTAAATTCAGCTATAATTTTATTCATGGGGAAAAGATATTTCAGAAGCTAAATCACAAAAACCCCCCAAAAAACTACAGACCTTAAATTCCTGTAGTTCCAGTCTCCTATCATTAACCTCTTTCTCAAGCTGAGCTTTTTCTACTTGCATAGCACCAGCAGTTCGTCCGTGCTGGCCCACCAACTGCGTCATGTTTTCAATCTGCTGTCGCAAAATCTCGATCACCTTGTCCTTTTCGGCCATCTGGAGCTTGAGGGCCTCACATTCTGTCTGCACATTTCTGAGGTGATCCCCTTCATTTTTCAGGTGCTGCAGCTCCTGCAATTTCAAGTCTACCCGGGAACGGAGCTTTGTGATCTCCGCATTGGTGGCCTCTATTGCTCTCTCTTTATCCTGGAGGGAAGCTGTCAAATCCGATACGGTCCTCTCTGAGCTCTCCAGGGTCATTTTCTTGGCTGTCAACTCTTCTACTACTTTGCGGAGCATCTCTTTGGTGGATTCAAGCTGAGCAGTCAAGGAGGACACTTTTTCTAGGCTTTCATTCTTTCCCTGAATTGCTGCCATCTGATTGTTAAAGAAAAAAGAATTTCATGGATTTGGGCAGGTAGGTAGCAGCAACCTCAAGAGATATAACATAAAAAACATGAAATCATTCATCAGATAATAACTACTTAGACCAACTCAAATGGTTTTGCTGTCAGACCTCCATATAGACCAAAGACGTGTTAATTAGACCAACGTGGAGAGGCCTTAATTAAAGAATAATGTTCCTCCAAAATGGTGTTGGGATCTTGTGAAGATTTCTCTGAGGATGTTTTCCGTACCAATTTAAATTAAGATAACACTGGCTATAGGGGGAAGTGTGGTAGGATTGTAGATAACTGCCCTTTCTCTCTATTTCCCACCAATCTGCTCCTTAATTCTACCTCTTAGGGAACAGCGAGTAATGGCTTTTATCCAACATACATTCACATTCTCTGGTCCTTGTTAGGAAGAGAGTAAGATTCTGAATTCCAATTACTTCTTTCATCTTTCTTCTTTCCCAGGTGGGGCCAGAGAATAGGAAAATAGCTTTGCCTGGGTCTAAGTCAAGACTGGTCCTTTTAGTTTGCTTTCACATTTGGGAAGCTTAGTTTTTTGTGGGATGCTTTTTCTGTCTCTATGGCAGTAAGTGACAATGGAACCATGTCCTTCCAGTGTTGAAGGGCCACTGCTGTTAACAGCGTCCCACATTTCCTGCTGGTGTGCTGAAATGGAGTGCACCCATCTTGTGCATAGATCAGTCTCAATCCACTTGGGGAAAAGTAAAAACAAAACCAAAGAAACATCTCTTGGAAACCTTCAACCCTACTGTTCCTAAGATCTCCCTATGGTTTGATACTTTTCTGAAATAAGCAATTATTAGTGTACCAAATTCTAGGTTAAAAAGGCAACTGGATGGGAGTTTCACTACTCAACAAAGTACAAAAATGAGAAAAAGCTTAACATTTTAAATTTAATAAGTGGTCAAAAATATTGAAATAACAGGTTTTTATAACTGCTCATAGAATCCACAGCTCTACTTTAGAGAGATTTTAGGCCCATATATGTTTTTATTTTCTTTTAAAAGCTTACCAAGAAGACATAAAATACATCACCCCCCCCTCCCCCCAAGAGACCACTTGGGGAAGCCTCCCCGTGTCCTGCCTGACCTGCCGTTCCATCTGGCCCTGACACTCGCTCTTCATGGCCTTGAGGAGGGCTTCTAGGCGCTGCACCTCCATGTTCCTGTCGTCCAGCTCCCGCCTCAGGTGGTCAATGGTGATGCTGTTGCCGGTGTCCCGATCCCACAGACGCTTATTCTGCTCCTTCTCCAGACTCAGCTCCTTCTCTCTCTTATGAAGATCAGCCTGTAAGGGGTGAGGTATGTTTTTCCCCTTAGTATTAAATAACCAAAATAAAACTCTATGTTACTTATATCATCTTTGGTGGTTTTATGTGATTTGAAAATAATTTGATTTTGGAATTTGATTCCTTTTTAATGGCTTAAGAACATTTCCTAGAAAAATAAGTTAACATTTTGCTTACTTGTAATTTTTAGCATTACAAGTAAATCTCAATGGACTGGACCTCAAAAACTATATAATGACAATAATACAGTAGATATTTAAAGTTATGTTTTTAAGTTTTGAATTTTCTAACAAAAGTATTATGTTTCACATCAAGTGTGTTCCTATAATAAAGAAATGCTCAAAAGGTTGAAGGAATAGCAATAGTAATTTGGTTTACTAATTCAGAAATGCAGAATAGTGTCCAATACTGGGACTGGAGTAGCAGTTGGACTGTGAATTAACTCCCTCTTTGGTTACTAAAAATTGACATACTGTAGTGTGTATCTACTGCTAGCAAAAACTCAATAGAGTAGGAGAAACAAACACTCACAGATCTTAAAGGACTTATCATCCAAAGAGAAAGATAAGACAGACGCAAATAAATGGAAGTGTTTTTTCATTAGAGACAAAACTATGGACTAGCAGAGAAATCACTAAAAAAATCAAAATGCTTTGAGAAGGCATCTGAATTGGACCTTGGGAACAGTTTGAAGATGCAGAGACTAGAAATAGGGGCTGGAAAGGGGCATATGTGGTTTGCTTGAAGCACTGGGTATATGTAGAGAAAGGATTGGCAAGGTAAACTGAGGCCAGATCATGAACAGTCTTGAAAGGCAGGGAGTCTGACTTTATGGGGAAAGCAATTTTTGAGTTAAAGAATGACACAATCAGAGCTGTATTTCAGAAGGATGACTGTCAGCACTTCCAGGCTGGACTTAAGAGGGGAGTAACTGGAGTGAGGAGCCCTAGTAAGGAGACACACATTGCCATGTTCCAGAGGTAATGAGGGGCTTTTGGATGAAAAGGGTAGTGATGGTAAAAATGAAAAGGAGGAGATGAATTTTAGGATCTTTCAGACATTTAATCTCTAAGATTTTCAAATTAGATGTGAGGACATTGGGAAACATGCAATAGGAGGGAAAGAAGAGAAAGATTATTCCCAGGTCTGGAGCTTCACACACACAGCTGCCTGCTCTTCCTTCGGTGATGCTCCTCAAGCCCCTTGCCAGCCTATAAAGAATGGCACTGCCAGCAGAGAGCACTGTGCCCTACAATAGAGTTTGCTTGTGAGAGGAATATTTATTCTACTGTACTGCTGATATCACAAAGCAGTTCCAAACATTTCCTTCTCCTAAATTTCTTGTCCTGCAGTACCTCTAACAGAGGGCAGAGGCTGGTCATGATGATCAGAGGTACCCTTTCCATTCTTTACAAATTTTAACCTAAATTTCCATTCAAACTGCCTTTATTCATAATTCGTATGTGTTTAAAGTGTTATTTTTCTCTGAAATGAACACTCAATACTACAATTTAACAGGATATAGTATCTAATTTAGAGACTATGGCTCCTTGAAGATTGGTTTAACCTAACTTCTAAGCCAGAACAGTTCTACGTAAGGAAAACAAAAAGTAAAGTATAGAATATTATATTTTATATGCAAAACTTGAATAATGTCTAGGACATTCCATTGTGTATGTATGCACAAATATTTTGTAAAATTTGCAATTTTATAAGTGTGAAATATTTTGGTGAAAAACTTCCCAGATTCATGTCATTCATATTTTAGAGCATAACCTTACCAACAGCTTTTGAAGTTGATCGTCCAGATTTCCAGATTCCTGACTGAATTGGTCGCGTTCTGTCCGTGCTTCACTGAGCTCGGAGTTGGCAAGGACTAGCTGCTTCTCCAGCTCTTCTATCTAAGACAAGCACAAATCAAACAGTCTGACTATGTCAGTGGGTAACATAAAAGAAATATAGTCTTTGGAAAACAAATATTATTTTGGGGGCAAAAATAAAACTTTAGTGTGATGTGTTCTGCAAAGTTTTCTAAACTTAAGAAGTATGTAGAATTTAGCCAAGTAAATTAGCCAAATGAAATATTCAAGATTTAGCTTCTGTGAATATGTGTTCTATAATTTGGTATTTAAGGAAGTTTGATGTGGCATAAATATATTCAGCAGAGCCTACATAAATGAAATGTATTATACTTAGAACTACTTTGTTTCAGAGTATCAGAGTTTCAATAATAAAAGGCTTTGAATATAAAAGAATGAATGGCAACAACAAGTTTTTAGTTACTGTCATTATATGGTTACTCTATTATGAAAGGGTGACTTTATATATTATATAAATATACTCCAATCCTCATTTTCTTTATAAAATGGGATAAGCACCAATTTTAAAGGGTTGTTATAGGTGTATTTTTCTCTCACAGGCAGGGCAGCTGTTTGATCTGTGGACTATGCATTTCTATGGCATGCCAGAAAGCCCATCACTGCTAAGAGCCTGTAGGTGCAGTGTGGGCTAAGAGGTTAAGATATCAGAGGATGGAGACTCGGTTTATATTTTAGCTGATCTAAATTCATAATTTAGACACTGAGATATTAAACTCATGAGAACATGTTGCTACTAGTGTTACGTAAGGTTACCTGATCTTTAATGGGATACCTACAGCACTACTTCAGCATCTACTTTCCAGTAATAAGACATCTTTCATGTCTGCACTAATACAGTGGTACCTTGGTTTTTGAATGCAATCCGTTCTGGAAGACCCTTAGACTTCTGAAACATCCAAAAACCAAGGGATCTGTAGCCAACAGCTAGGCCTCAGGATCTTGCTCCTCAGCGGAAGCCATGTGGCATGTTCGACTTCCGAGGAGTGTTCGAAAACCGAAGCATTTATTTCCAGGTTTACCCCGTTCATAAGCCGAAATGTTCGTCAACGGAGACATTCAAAAACTGAGGTACCACTGTACTACATATTTCTTCTTACTTCTAAGGCATCTATTCAACAGGCTTCCAAAACTTCTATGTCAAGAATAAAACTTATTGATGGGTCTGGATGATAAACTGATTAAACCTTCTTAGAGAACATATGAGCAAGACTTTTTCTTGATGACTATTTTTACCTAGACTACATGCTTTTAAGACCTTCATTTAATTCTACACATACTTATTAATCATATTACACACACACATAATGCAACTATGTCTTTGATAAATAAGTATGAATACATAAAAGTTATATCTCTTTACACATACATATATGACTTAAGGAAGTACTAATATAGGACTAGCAACAGTTTCACATTTACCTACAGAGTAGTATCACAACCTATAGGGATTGGAATATAAATTTTAATATTTACATTGATTATATTTTAAAACTGACCTTGTTTTTTATTTTATATTATATATGTAAAAAAGTATTTCACAAGAATTAGACTTATATAAAGCATTAGGTTATGGACAGAAATGTGTTCACAGATTCTAATAACCCTAAAAAGTACTTTCACCCTTGTGCTCCTTAGGGGGCACATACAGAAAAAAGCCCCACAGCAACTCAACCTCTGTAGCACAAATAGCTTCCTAAGGAGAATGAATAATATCAGTTTATATAATCTCTTCAGCTCTATTATTATTGGGAAAGACTAAGTCAGCACACACTTAGTAAACACTAGGAATACTTAGGAAAAAACCACTAACTTCTACTTTGGGTAGATGGATACGATCAGAGAGGCAATATGATCAGGCTAGGAGTCAAACATCTTAAGTTCTGATCCAAGTTCTGTCAACATAACCTCCTTGAGTCTAAATTTTTTTCATGTATAATTTGAAAAGATACTCTTGATGATCTTTCAAATTCCTTTCAATTCTGCTTTTGAATACTTTTTACATGAGAACAGTATTGATAAAGATGATTCTATATTTTCCACCTATCTTTGGAAACAAAATATGATCAAAGAAACAATATTTTGAGCAATACATTTAATAAGAACACTTCGGATTTGAAAAGTTACTCATATGACTAAAACATTTTCCAATTCTAGCTAACCTGGCACAAAACCATTTCTATCATTGAACCAAGCATTTGTATATATGCTTTAAAAACTTAAATTAAGACTTGTTATTTTATGTCTGGTTTCATTTTTTTAAAAATTCTGGATGGCAATTTGAAAAAATCAAGCTTGATGGTAAAATCTATGAGACCAAAACTTTAAACAGGAAAGAGAAAAAGAGCCATGTCTTATCTTTCCATCTAAGTTTAAGTATCAGAAGTTCCTCCAGACCCCTGCAGGAACATTTGTTTTGTAGTTGTCAGTACTGACTCAGCTGCTATAGCTCTGCTTTTACCTTTCACTTTTTAGAGTAAAAATATATCTTAATCAATCAAAAAGATAAATGGAGAGTGAAAGGGAAAACCATTGAAGTAGCAGCTGAGCTGATACAAACAGCTGTAAAAAAACACAACACACTATAAAGAAAAGCCTTTTAAAATGTCCAGAATGAATACTGACATCTGAGATGCATCAAAGGTGTTTTTTTTCTTTTCTTTTTAAATAGCAGCACTGGTTTTCCCTTTCACCATCTAAGAATCTCTTTGTTTTGGATCACTAGAGAAGTAAGTACTGGGATCTCATTCTAATCATACAGTGATTTTTAGAGATATTACCAATCATACCGAATTGGATCTTTTGTTTTCTGTGCTCAAAGTGGCACATATACGGGATAATAAGAGATGCTGCAGGTCAGCACGAGGTGCAATGGCAGAACTATGCAAAGAGGTTTGCACAGAATCTTCCTGCACAGTATATAGCTCCAGCCAGTGCTACTAAATCTTCACTTTTTGAGTATGAAATTCAGTCCCAAATGCTTTCAAAGTAGAAAAAATCAGCTTATAATCAAGATCATGAAATATTTTTGTTGTCAAAAAGCGAAAGTTAAGAGTAAAGCCAAATCTACAGAGCCAATAGTGACAGCTTCTACAGGTCCAAATTCGTAAAGGGGAATTCTGGAGGCTCTCCTAAAATGGAAAGAAAAGAATAGAAAAAAGCATTACAGTAAAACACTTTTGTAAGCTATAAAAGCTATGTCTAAAATTTGCTTCAAAACACAATTTTTATTTTTATATGAAAATGCTTTTGTTAATCTGAAGAGAAACAGTGCCCTCCTAAACAAGTTTTCTCATAATTTATGCATTCTAGTTGGAGAAGTTTGCTTCAGACCTGTCATGTCACCCATTTTTAAAAATAATAAACTCCTTTTCTGAAGGAGTATGGCCTCAGGAAACAATACTAATACTGTTTCTCATAAAATAGCTTGAAATGTAATATCAACACACCCTTACAAATTTCTTTTCAGACAAATCTCACTTTTAATCACAGCTTTTATGTATTATTTTCTTTGATGCTTTTTTCTTTATTGTTATTTGGACAGTATATACTAAAGTGTGCACTGAAGCAGTGGGGGAAAAAAGATTTTAAAGTTTTAATAGGCTTTTAGCATGTAAAGTCAAGGTTCATGAAAAGAAATTAAACAGGAGAATCTGTGTTTTTTAGATTCTATGTTCAATTCATTATAACAAAAACAGCTTAAAACAACAAAACTTTTCACGACCCCAAAATGCAATCCTATTGATAAGCTGCTTGACCTTCCTAGCTCAGTTATACCATGTATTAATGCCTTTCAGGCCAGAACATGTCCAAATCTCTATTAACATGGCAGTTACTAAATAAAGCAAATTACTATTAAGAAACCTTAGTTACCCATCAATTAGGTGCCAACTCAAATAGGTTCAAAATGCTGTATTTAAATCTCAGTGATCTGGATTAATTAATCAGATATGCCCCCTTTATTTCTATTAAATGTTGACTGTTTAAGACTGTCAAAATTCCTGTTTACATTAGAGCATAATAAGACAATAATTCTAAGATTATGTTTGTATCTATATGACCTCAAAACATCCATATGAAAAGTTTGTAGTCATTCATCTGGATGTTTATGCTTCTACAATGCCAAAGAGGTGTTTATAAAAACTCAAAAACTGCCCGGCTGGGCGTGGCTCAGCGGTTGAGTGTCGACCTGGGATCCAGGCCATCAGGGTTCGATTCCTGGTCAGGGCACATGCCCGGGTTGTGGGCTCGATCAATGACTCTCTCATCATTGATGTTTCTATCTCTCCCTCTCCCTCTCCCTTCCTCTCTCTGAAATCAATAAAGCTATATTTAAAAAAAAAACACAAAAAACTATTTTTTGCATTGTTTAGATGTATATTTCAGTATTTGTTAAAATTTTCCACCATGCCCATTTTGGAGTTGATCAGCATGATGCTACATATCAAACCATATGCAAATTAGCAAACAATGGGTTATGAAGGGATAATTTCTTATGAAGGCATAATTTCTCCAAGAAACATTACAATGGAAAGCTATAGCAATTTCAAATGTAAGAGAAACACGAGTCTTATTTAGTACTTCATAACTTTTCAAAGGGTTTCATTTGTCAATAAACAATGAATATTTAATCTTTTCAAAATGATTAGTGAGGAATATCAGCTATTGTATTGGACTATAACACAGCAACTATCCTATTTCCTCCTTTGTTGTCAGATTGTCAGCACTCAGTTCTGCCAATGTGCCACCCTCCTCTAGATCTGAGTATAAAGCATCCTTCCACCCCATGCTATCCTGAAATCATGACCATCCTGCAAGGTGAGATCAAGAACTTTGTGTAGGCTTTGTCTGCCCATAATGGGGTGGACATTCCCACTATCAATCTTCAGGGGAAAAGCTCATCCTGAGAAAGGAGACTAGAACACATGTAGGCCAAGAGGGGCAGAAAGGAATAAATGCTTCTCTCAGGGTTAACCTTTAAGCAGTCTAAGGTTCCTTAAGGCTGCCTGCAGGTGGCAGGGACTGAAATGACTCTGACACAGGATGTGGGCTAAGAGTGAAGCCAAGAAATTTTGTACTGCAGCATTACTCACACTGGAACCACCAGCGAATTAGGAAATCAATTTATGGAGCACAAAATCAGCATCTGGAGAGCAGAAAAGAGCCAGCAGCATAGGTAATGGGATAGATACTGTTTTGTGAAACTTGCTTCAGTTGTGTGTACTAGATCATAAGGTTAATTATATTTCTTACTGTGGGTAGTGATCAAAATGTTTGAAAACCACTGCTGTAGAGGATCCAAATCTCATAACTGAGATTATATAGTTTCACGTTACTCTTTAGTGTTTAGACTTTAATAAAGTCATGTCTAAATTTTCCATTCTTATTTTAGTTGTGCCACTGGAAATTAAGGTCAAGGTCTTATATTACATGCTTGAACCTGAGAACCTAGCAGAAATAGCCCCCTCCTGTGGCCAGCACAGGGGTGACAGTGGTAATTAAATGGAGTGCTCAAAAGAGGACAAATGGAATAATCAGTGCAGCAATACTTAATTGCCTCTTCCCATAGGAACTTTTTTTCTTGTACTGTTACCCTGTAGAATTGGGTAATTTTATAAAGGAAATCTGGCGTCTACCTTATACTCTACTTTTTCCCGATAAACTAAGGTGTAAGAAATTGGCTAAAAGTGATGGTTAGAACCGTAGGCTCTCTTGGAATTTATCTTCCAAACTGAGACACTTTGGAGACAAAGGTGGAATTCACAACACAGGACACTGGGATAGCAGGTGTAAACTGGGACTGTCCCAGGCAAACGGGAATGTATTTGGTCATCCTTTTCACAGGAAAAGAGAACATGAGCTCCTCTGAATGGTAGCTCTTTGCTTGTTTTATAGGGTCTCTACTGTGTTATAAATGCTTGAAACTAACAAAAACCCAAGATATAGAAAAATGGTTAATAATGATAATAAACACTTCTCTTTCACTATGAAACGTGAGAGAAAACAACAGAATAAAAAATACTAATGAATATGTGGTTTTAACAGGAATCAATGAGCGATGAAGATTTAGCTTCCTAATTATTTTCATTTAGACTAATCTTAAAGTTAATTCAGTTTTCTAACTGCACAGTGATTAATAAGTAGGAGTTGAAGTAAGAGAGGCTATAGTCCTTGAAGTAGGAGGAAAGCAGTGGCTACTGAAGTATTCGCTAAAGCTAAGCCTTGTAAAAGTAATTAAACGGGCCTCATTCTTTATTTTTTAGAAACTTAAAGTATGCAAAAACTTTTTTCTAAGAATGAATTAATGTGAGCCAACAATTTAAATAAAAATTATTTGGCATCCACCTTATAAAGTGTTTTTAACTTTAAATGATTACTTTGATTCCTCATTTTCAAATAAACTATTAAAAACTATATAATTGATTCTGTGTATAATAGTTTCTGGAAGCAGAGCAGCAAAATCTAAACTCACCTTGTCTTCATACATCCTTTTGGCTTCCCTTAGCTCAGAACGGAGCTGAGAAACAGTAGATTCCAGTTCACTGAGTTGACGCATATACATTGAATTTTGGTTTCTTGCTTGTTCTCTAAGAAGGGTTTAAAGGGGGAATAAGATAAAATAGCAGACTAAGAATAAGTGTGATCCCTAAACATACTCCAGCTTTTAGATACTTCCACTAGTTATTTTATATGGCATTATTAGGCCAATCATCTTTTATTTTCCAAAATTGCTTCTTAAAAGCTCAAAAATGTTAACTGTTAAAGCTATGTGATGTGTATATGTGAGTTCATTACACTATTTTCTCTTTACTTTTCTGTATGACTGAAAACATCCACATAAAAGGTTTCAACACATAAGCTCAAATTATAAAATTATTTATATGCATATATGTACATTTTATTTATACACAAATATATATGTGTTTGTCTTATCCTATCAGTTAAAATATGAACAATATTTAAAACATCCAATCCCAAAAGGCCAAAATATTTACAATAATACTTCTGATATGGTCATATAATATTACATATACATTAAATAATCTTTTCTATTAATTTAAATGTTAGAAAAGCTTTACTTTCTTGTGAAATCAATTATTAAGCATTTTAAAAAAGATTTTAAAACAGAAAATAGAAATAAAATGAAGATTAATGACTCAATTTCAAACCACATACTGAATGATTTCCATTTGACTTTGGATACTATTGGCTTGGCTTCGAGCACTGCTAGCTTTCTCGGTAAGTCCTGTTATTTCAATTTCATGTTCACTTATTAACTGCTCAATCCTATAAAAAAAATGTGGTGACTGTTATTTGATACAGATTATGCCTATGAATTATTTTTAAAAAATAATGATTTTTAATACTCTCAAATTTAGTATTTTGTTTTGGCTTTGAATATTCTATTCTTTTTTATTTTTTATTTATTTATTTTTTTAAACATATCTTTATTGATTTCAGAGAGAGGAAAGGAGGGGAGAGAGAGAGATAGAAACATCAATGATGAGAGAGTCATTGATCAGCTGCCTAGCCCACAACCCGGGCATGTGCCCTGACTGGGAATCAAACCCCGATCTCCTGGATCCTAGGTTGATGCTCAACCACTGAGTCACGCCTGGCCGGACCAGAATATTCTATTCTTTTTATGACAAGTGTCTAAGTTAGGTGCAGAGTCCTTTATCTAAATCCTTTGGGGACCAGCTAGGTTTTGGAATTCAGAATTTAAAAAATTTTACCAAAGGTAATAAATTATATGTACTATATATTATATGACATCCCCAGAGAGATCTAGGGAAGTGCCCTATAAGCCAAACATATTCCTAATGAAACAACAGGTTTTAAAATATTCCCATTAAATCATAAAGACCATAAAAAACATTACATTAGCTCAGGCCAGGTTTTGCCAACAAATGAGTGACAAAGGCTTTCTCCTTGACCAAACTTTAGTCAGGCTCCTGAGCTCCCTTCTCAACTAGGTCTGGACCCTGGCGCCCCAACCCCCATCTGCCACCCCCTAAAGACGCCTAGGCTTAGTAAAAATCTGGCTGAGTCAGTTTAGTGAGAATCCTTTTACCCTTGATGTATGTATTCTCTTGGTAATTTTCCATCCAATGACCCCCGACCCTGCTTCTTGCTATGTATCCTAGCTTATCCTTGTTGTACTAGGAGTTGAGCTTGATCTCTCTCTAACGCAAACTCCTATTTCAATAGTTTTGAATAAAATCTTCCCTACAGTTTTAACAAGTGTAGGAATAATTTTTTTCTTTAAGAGTTCACCACAAACATATAAAAAAACTTCTATGTTTCGGAGCTTTTTAGATTTTGGAATTGCAGCTGACTGGAGACTTGTGGTACAGTCTCCCTGTGATTTTCTAGCTCAGTCAGGTGCCTACCTATCTTGATGTTGTTGAAGTAGTAGTTCTATTTTGTTCTGTGACTCAGATTTCAGTGCTTCAAGCTGATCTTCTACCTGGTTATTAAAAAGATGTAGATTTAGAAACTAGTAAATCCAACATTTGGAAAATTTAGACATTTTCCAACTAACAGGATGCTTAGAAAGATGCAAACAAAAGTAATACTTAAATTGGATACATTCTGTCACTGTATTTTATTAGATCTTTTACTTTGGCTATACTCTAATGAAGCTATACAGGTCAATCAAGCTAGTTCCCTTTATTAAGAGAGATCATTGTGGAAGCAACTTCCGTTATTTTAGAGTACAAAAATGAGAACTTACTTTTAAGAATTTAAAAAATTACATGCCTAATACTATTGTCTTAATAAATTTTAATATAAAATTGAAGTAGTGTTCTCACCACTTACTGGAAATATCCTCCCTTTAAGATAAGAAATCTCTGTGTCTAATTCTCTTAGGATTTTACTAATAGCTGAGCCCATGTTGCGGAAGTGGATAGCAGACACGCTGTCGTGTTCATATATTTTCTTGCCTGAGGCTTGTTCAAAGTCAACCAGGATTGATCGGATTTCATGAAGCACTCCCTCATGACTAAGCATCATCTTTCTTAGCTGCTCTATCTGTGTGTTGCTATCTTTCAGCATGTCCTCCTTAAGGCATCTGGCAGCTTCCAGTTCATGAACTGTACTTTGAAGCTGATTTCTTAAATCCTCCTGGGACTGACTCTCCCTTCGTCTATGAAGTAAATAAAAGAGAAATAATAATAGTGATAAAACTCATAATCACTCAAGTAGTTTTATACCACAAAGAGTAAAGCTCTAAAATAATTTCAGGTAAAGATCCCAACCTGATGTCCGCCATGGCATCTCTCTCCATTTGCATCTCTTGAAGTTTTGTTTGCAAATCAATGACTGACTGCCTTAAATAAAATTTCTGTTTCTCATGCAATTCATTGCTCTGAAAAAATAAAATGCCATGCAAATTAGTTTTTTCTTTTTTTATTGAATTTACTGGGGTGTCATTGGTTAATAAAATTATACAGGTTTCAGGTATACAATTTTACAATACATCATCTGTTGTCAAATTGGTCTTCATTAGAGGAACATATTTCCTTATAGTTAATAATTTCCAAAATCTATATATTATTAATTAATTTTTAAACTTTCTTTTTACTGTTGATACTATCACAGATGCCGCCATTCCACCCCTTTGTCCACTTCCACCCAGCCCCAGCCCCCCTTCCCTCTGGCCATCATCACACTCTTGCCAGTGCTGTCTATGGGTTATGCATATGTTCATTGGCGAATTCCTTCGCTTTCTTTCATCCAGTCCCCCACCCCAACATCTGTCAGTATGTTCCATGTATCCATGGCTGTTTCTATTTTGTTCATCAGTTTATTTTGTTTATTAGATTACACATATAAGTGAGATCATATGGTATTGGTCTTCCTCTGACTGGCTTATTTCACTTAGCATAATAATCTCCATGTCCATCCATCCTGTTGGAAAGGGTAAGGTTTCCTTCTTTTTTTACAGCTGTGTAGTATTCCATTGTGAAAATGTACCACATCTTTTTTTTTAAATCCTCACTCGACGACATGTTTTTATTGATTTGAGAGAGGGAGGGAAGGGAGGAGGGAGGGGGGGAGAGCAAGGGAGAGAGAAACACTGATGTGAGAGAGAAACATTGATTGGTTGCCTCCTGTATGCACCCCGACTGGGCATCAAACCCGCAACCTAGGTATGTGCCCTGACCAGGAGTCAAACCGGCAACCTTTTTGTTTATGGGGTGATACTCCAACTGACAGAGCCACCTGGCCAGGGCTGTACCATAGTTTTTTATCCACTCATCTACTGATGGGTATTGGGCTGTTTCCAGATCATGGCTATGGTAAATAGCACTGCTATGAACATAGGGGTGCAGATATTCTTTCTGACTAGTGTTTCAGGATTCTTAGGATATATTCTTAGAAGTGGGATTACTGGGTCAAAAGGCAGCTCCATTTTTAATCTTTTGATGAATCTCCATACTGTGTTTTCCATAGTGGCTGTATCAGTCTGCATTCCCACCAGCAGTGCACTAGGGTTCCCTTTTCTCCACATCATCATCAGCACTTGTTGTTTGTATTATTTTATATGTACTTCCTTCCCCTTTACCACTGTTCAGGGCCTAATTTATCACCTAGATTACTGGAATACTTTTACTAGTCTCATTGTCTCAAGATTGTCCCCCTTTCAATCCAATCTCTACACCAAAACTATTTCTAAAACAAATCTGACTTCTGACTCAATATAGAGACAGGAATAATTTTTATTCTTGAGAACAGAAGAACTGGTTGAAATTCTGTATAGAAAAGTCAACCACCACCTCCAATCTATTTAAAACACCTGGCAGCAGACCCCCTCTCCCCCCCAAAATCAAGGTGTTCACTACAAAGAAATTGACAAAGATCTCTAAAATCAGGCACTGCGGGATCTCCCAGCATAAGAACTGGTGACCATAATCATCCCAAAATGAAGCCATCAAGTTCTACCCATAAACAAAGAGCTTGCCATCTGTTTTTTTAAAGCAAAAACAAAAGCCAAAACCACTAAACATCTGAAGGAAGATTACAAAATTAAAAAAGAGACCAAGGTTAGATGAATAAGCAAAGAGCCATTAATAAAGATCCAGAGACAGAGACAGATAATGCACCAACAGAAGGACACTCAAAAACTTGTATTGCAGAGACAGCTGAGAGACACGAGAGCTATAAAGAGCAGGATTTATCTTTTCGGCACTTAAGGTTGTAGGTTTGTTTTTTCCTCCAAGTGCTTACAAAGTCTACTGAGGTAGAGGAACGTGTTCATGAACCCAGTAAGATGTACTGAACACTACAACAGACACGTGCACGAAAGGCAAAGGAGAGCATGCCTACTACCGTCCACAGGACAGGCTTCAGAGAGGAAAGGCCTCAGCTAACTCCTGATAGGTAATGAGACCGCGCCAGGCAGACGCAGTAGAGGAGCGGACATTCCTTGGGAAAAGCACAAGGACTACGATCATATGGTACATCCAGGGAAGAGCAAGGAGCTTGATATTGCTGGGATGGCGGCTACACAGGGGAACTGGTAGAGAAGAGACTGCCGTGTACAGAGAGAGGCTAGACCACAAAGGCCTCTGTATAAGCTGGTGGATTTGACTTTCAGGTTATAGATGACTGGGACCCAACATACAATTGTAAGGCAGACTAGAACCAGCTTGATTCCACATAAGGTTGCTTGAAGATTTTAGCAAACAACTTCTCTACACTATGTAGCTATCATGTATAACATACACCTAAAGCCTGCCCCTACCACTGCTTTGTAAACATAAACCAGGTACTGTGACAGGACAGGGGCCGGAACCACTATTGATTATAATTGTTGGTCAGTGTCATTAATTATAACATTCTGAGCTTTCGAGTTTCACTAAAATGACACCATTAGTACAGTAAAGGAAATGATCAACAAAATGAAAAGACAGCCTAGGAATGGGAAAAATATTTGTATCGTGCATCACATAGGGGTTAACATCCAAAATTAAACAACAACAAATGCACATGCAACTCAGTAGCAAAAAACCAAATAATCCAATTAAAAATGGGCAAAGTGTTAAATTGACATTTTTTCCGAGGAAGACATACAGATGGCAAAATGGTCCATAAAAAGATGCTCATTACTGATCATTAGGGAAAAGCAAATCAAAACCACAATGAGATGTCACCTCCCACCTGCTAGAATAGCTACCATCAAAAACACATGAGAGTACAAACCCTGGCCAAGTAGCTCCGTCGGCTGGAGTGGTGGCTCCCTATGCCAAGGTTGTGGGTTCAGTCCCCAGTCAGGGTACATAAAAGAACCAACCAATAAATGCAGAAATAAGTAAAATGACACTGTTTCTCTCTCTCTCTCTCCCCCTCTGCTCCCCTTCCTCTCTCTATAAGATCAATAAATAAAAAATAATTAAAAAAAGACAAGAGAGTACAGGTTCCAGTTCAATATGGTGATGTAGGAAAATCCTGAACTTACCTCCTCCCATGAACACACTGAGTTTACAGCTATACACAGAACAAATTTCCTCTTTAAAGAAACCTAAAGGCTGGCTGTGTGAACACTACACATTGGGCAAAAAAGAAGAAAACCACATCCAAGTGGGTAGAAGAGGCTGGGGCACAATCTTGCCATAAACCCCACCTGCCACTGTGTCCCACACTGGGAGGGACCTAGACCCAGAGCTTCTCCCTGAGGAGGGACGGGTTCAAATCCCACACCGAGCAGCCCAATTCTTAAGACATACACTTGAGAGATGAGTCCCCAAAACATCTTGACTTTGAAAAACAAGGCTTGAGTCCCGAGACCTACAAGACTGCAGCATCTGAGAAATCTCTGAAGGGCTGGTGTGCTCAAACTCACCGCAGGGCCCAGCTCAGAGGCAGCCAATTGTGTCCAAGACTCAAAATAAAGGAGGCTCACTTGCTTATATTAAAACATCAGCCTGAGGGGTGGGCATCTAATTCCAGGGTGTGGAGAAAAGAGAACCCTGTGCACTGTCAGTGAGAATGTAAATTGGTATAGCCACTATGAAAGACAGTATGGAGACTTCTCAAAAAATTAAAAATAGAGCTGCCATAGTATCCAGTAATTCTACTTCTGGCAATATATATGAAAGAATTAAAAATATTATATCGAAGAGATATCTGCACTCCCATGTTCACAGCAACATTATTTACAATAGCCAAAACATGGAAACCACCTACCTCTCCACTGACGGATGAATAGATAAACAGGCTGTGGTATGTACGTAATGGAATATTATTCAGTCATAAAAAGGAGGAAATCCTGCCATTTGTGACCACATGGATGAACCTTGAGGGCATTATGCTAAGCGAAATAAGTCAAAGAAACATAAATAGCATATGATCTCACTTATATGTGGAATCTAAAAAAAGAAACAACAGCCCGGCCAGGCATGGTGGTTGAGCATCGACCTAGGATCCAGGAGATCGGGGTTCAATTCCAGGTCAGGGCACATGCCCAGGGTTGCAGGCTCGATCCCCAGTCGGGGGCGTGCAGGAGGCAGCCAATCAATGACAGCTCTCTCATCATTGATGTTTCAATTTCAACTCTCTCTCTCCCTCTCCCTTCCTCTCTCTGAAATCAATAAAGATATATTTAAAATTTTAAAAATAAAAAATAAAAAAAGAAACAACAAAAAAAACAAACTCATAAAAAAAGATATCAGATTTGTGGTTACCAGAGGCAAGGGGTGGAGATGGGAAATTGGATGAAGGTGGTGAAAAGGTACAAACTTCAAGTTATAAGTCAGATAAGAAGTGGAGCTGCAGTGTACACCATGACGACTACGGCTGACACTGCCGCATGGCGTGTATGACAACCAGTAAGGGAATAAATCCTAAGTTCTCATCACAAGGAAAAACCTTTTTTTTTCTTTTGTATCTCTATGAGAAAACAGTTGTTAACTAAAGTTACTATGGTAATCGTTTCATAATATATATAATCAAATCATTACGCTATACACTTTATACAGTGCTACTGATTATATAGCAATAAAACTGGGAAATTACATTAAAGCAAGACATATTATAACTAATTATTAACAAGAGAAAATAGGTATGCAGACTTTTCATCAGCCCAACTTTTAATACTGAAATAGAAGGGATAGGCCTAATTAATAAGTTTAACCAATAAATCCATTGTTAAGGTTTTCTTCCAGAAAGTTAGGTTCTATTCCAAGGCATTGTGCTTCACTGTCTTTCCAAAACAGCATCAGGTGCTGAAAGAAAAGAATGTGACTCACTTCATTCAGTCTTTTCTGCAAATCTTTGACTTGATGTGAATATTCTTCCAAAACACGTTCGATGTGTTCTTTTCCAGGGTAAGGGATGATTTTCCTGTGAGAATCAAGCTCTGCTTCATATTTAGGGAAAAAAGGAATTTGTGTCAAAGTTCCAGATGCAGATGTGTTTTCAATTATTGTACCACGTACAGGTGACATAAAAAATGGACTTGAAGAACCTAAATATTAAAGAATTAATTAACTTATTACTAAAATAAGTTAAATACTATTACTACTAAAATAAAATAATTTTGTGGCAAACATTATCCTAAGTAACTCCCTTATTGAACCATGAAGGAACTCAAGGTCTCATGAGGCAAATAGACAAGTGAAAGTACCTCTGAGAGAAAGGAGCACATGGTAAAAAAGAGGAGCAGATTAGGGAGGAGGGAGTTTTACCTGATAGTAATCAAGTGATGCTTGAGCTGAATGAGCCTTGAAGTATCTATGAGTAAGAGCTAACTAGTCTGGAGGACAAGAGAAGAGGAAGGGCATTCCAGACAGTGGGAGCACCATAATTATTGGCATGGAAGCTTAAGACAGCATGGCATATTCTGGGTGAAAAGAAAGTAGTGGCCAGATATGAGAATGAAGATGCAGGGCAGATTATGAAGGACCTTGTAGTCATGCCAAGGAGTTCATATTTCATCTTGAAAGCTCTGAGAAATCATTAAAGGATCTGAAAGTAGGGGGTTAATACAAGTAAGTCTGTGTTTTAAAAAAGTTTTCTGGCTCCAGGGTAGAGAATGCATTGATGGGGCTAAAACTGAAGGTAGAGAATCCTAGCAGGAGAAGGCTTTCAGCGATGTAAGCAAGAAATAGCAAGGGTGTGCCCTAAAGCAGAGTTGGTGGTGACAAACACAAAGGCATAGATTTGAGAAATATATGTGGAAAGTAAAAGAGAGGAAGGTGTCAAGTATTTCTCTTGGGTTCTGGGCTTCAGCAACATCCAATAAGGACGTTTGGTGTTCAAATACTGTACATGGACCTGAAGTTCAAGAGTGAATCTTTGCTTCAGAGATTGGGATTTGGGAATTATCAGCATATTCTGCCTCCCTCTTCAATGTCCTGACAACAGTTCCTTTTCTCTAGTCCCTCTAGTCCAAAGATTGGTAGCAGCTTCCTGCAGTTACTCATCTCTGGATAATCTCATCCAGTTACGCTTCTCAGCTCTTCCAATACCCTTCTTACCAATTCCCTGTATTAAGAGCCAGCTGTTTATTCCACCTTTCTGTTTTCCAGATTGCTATCTTTTGATTGAAATAATTTCAATCAGCCCTAGCTGGGTTTTCCCAGTGGCTAGAGAGTTGGCCCTCAGACTGAGGGGTGCTGGGTTTGACTCTGGCCAAGGGCATGCACCTCGGTTGCAGGCTCCATACCCGACCAGGCACACGTGTGGGAGACAACCAACTGATCCCCCATCTCCCTTCTACTCTAAAAAGCAATGGCGAAAAAATATTCTTGCGTGAGGATTAAAAAAAGAAACATAATGTTAGTGAGTGTAGATGTAGTCTGCCATCTGGCTGGTTATCAGAGCTGCCATTCTTTACAATTCTTTACAATTCTATAGTGTTAATCTAGAAAGAGAATATACTCACATTCCACTAGCCTTGATTACACTGAGCCGTAGCAATCTGATATATACTATAAAACCTACATCAATGGTATTAATCCATGTTTCTGTGTTTGTGTCTATGTGTGCGTGGTAAGAGTACACCTTTTTAAGTTCTTTGTTTGGAAACTGGCTACATTAAAAAGCAGATCACAGTTATACCTAGTACCACATAAGTAAATTGTTTAAATTGGCTCATTAAAATTGTCTTAAGTAAACATCTTCACAACATTTTCAGTATTTCAGATAAAAACATTGTTTAATAAGGAAACATCCTAGATGTATTATGAGTCTTCTCAGTAGAAATATTACATCTCAGAACTCTCTCACTATTATTAAAAGCAAGATGCATTTCTCTAGGGGGATTCCAGCCTTTTAGGAAAAGCTTGACTAGTGAAAATCTATGGTCAAAAGAAATACTTGCTTCATTGAAATGTATTATTTGTAAACCCATGGATAAGAGCCACTGTATATGTGATATCCCTTATTCTGTAGGTATTTTTGTTCTTAGTGCATTAAGATGAAAATGAAAAAGTAAAATAATAATGATAATAATTTCAATCAGAGGTAATGGGGGTAATTGGGGCCTGAACTAGGACAGTAGTAATGGGGATGGAGAGGGAGAAGAAGAGGGAGAGGGGAAAATGGATTCAAGAGAAATTTCTGAGAATAGAAGAAACAAGACTTAGTACCTGATTGGGATGTGAGAGTGGGTAAGGGAAAAGAAGTCAAAATAATACAGAATTCTGGCTTACAGTAGATGAAGGAAGAGAAGGAGTTTAGGGAAACATGAAATGTGTTGAAGTGCCTCAACATGGAAACAATTTTTAAGCCAAAAAAGTAATGTTAACATATGCTAAAAAACAGATATGCTATTTTTAAAAGACTAAACAATTCCTTTCTCAAAAAGTAAACTTATAGCCCGGCTGGGCGTGGCTCAGTGGTTGAGCATTGACCTAGGATCCAGGAGATCGTGGTTCGATTCCCGGTCAGGGCACATGCCTGGGTTGTGGGCTCCATCCCCAGTCGAGGGCTTGCAGGAGGCAGCTGATCAGTGACAACTCTCATCGTTGATGTTTCTATCTCTCTCTCTTCCTCTCTCTGAAATTAATAAAGATATATATATATATATATATATATAT